TTTTTCCAGTGTAATTCAAACTCAGCATATCCAGGCAAGGTTTTAGCCAAGCAAGGAAGAACTCAGTAACTTGGAGCTGTCATCTTTGAAGGCTTGGGGCTCTAATTCCTATCATTACTAAATCCATCTTCCATTGGGCCTTGTGGGGGTATATCAGAGAGATTTATATTGTTAAAGGTAAAATATTTCCTTCTCTGTTGTGTTAGGATAAGGGACAGCTAGATAACTTTAATGGTCATATTGTCATCTGAATATTTGTGACAAATCTAGCAAAATTCCAAAGAGGGCATTAATCATGATGAAGCATTGTTGTTTGAACTGGGATAGGTACCAACAGCAAGCATTACCGTAGATGGAAATCCAGCCCTTAATCATGTAAGATGGACAAATTCAGGACGTGAGATTGCTGTGGGAGATTCCGAAGGACAAATAGTAATTTATGATGTGGGAGAGGTAGGTAATTTTCTAACTTATTTTGCTTTGCTTCAATAATAAAGAGTGCATAGGAGTCATGTTTTTGTTTCAATTTAGAAAGTGTGTCTCTATTTAAAGTTTGGGCAGATTTAAGTGCGAGTGTGTGTGCGTGCAAAGATGAAAATTTAAAGAAATTATCATGAATATAGTTTTGTGAAGCAGCCTAAGACTACTTCAACCCTTCCCCCTATTTCTTGGAAACTACTGCCCAACTCAATTTCCCATAATGCTGCTGCTCATTCACCATTCCTTTTTTATTCTGGGGCATCTGATGGCAACAATTGGCAGGACTTTCAAATTACAAACTTTTTCAGAAAAGATTGCAAGTTATCCAAAATCTTTCATGTTGCAAAGTAATGTAAAAAGTTCTCTGTATCCACCAAGTTTAAAACTGGAGAATATGAAAGGAGAGTTACTATACAATACAACAAAGATACAGTTTGTAACTGAGTTCAGGTCAGAAGGCCAAAAAGAGTTGCTGTTTGACTGCTTTTGTGTCACTTCAGAATCCTTTATATTTGAGTTTGGGGAAATACTCCAGTGCTTTCAAAGTTGTTCAAACTAATAGTTGTGGCTTAGGTTTGCTTTACTGGTTTGGACAAGTAAATAGTTTTCAAATTTCTTTTTCTTATATATGGTCTTAACCAGACAGTAGAGCAGCAGGTTGGAAGTACAATTCTTCTAAAAACAGAAGAATGTGAAATATATTATGAACTGTTTCTGTCCAGTTAGACACTGGCTAGATGCTATTGCCTAGATCTGGGATGGCGAACCAATGGCACACGGAGCCATTTGTCATGGCATGCGCGCTGGCCAGCTGAGTTCACCATTTTTAAAGCCATTTTTCACCCTCCTCAGGCTCCAGAGGCTTTACAAGAGCTGGAGAGGGCAAAAAGAGCTCCCCCCCCCCAAGGCCCTCTGGAGGCTTCATGAGCTTCCCTGAAGCCTCCGGAGCACAAAAAAACGGCCCTATGGGCAAACCGGAAGTTCGGGAACAGACTTCTGGTTTGCTCGGAGGGTCGTTTTGACTGCTCCGGAGGCTTCAGGGAAGCTCATGAAGCCTCCCGAGGGCCTTGGGGGGGGGGGAGCTCTTTTTGCCCTCTCCAGCTCTTGTAAAGCCTCTGGAGCCT